AGAAGCCTGTTTGAGTCCATACAAGGATTTATTGAGTCTACATACCAATTGCTCCCCTTGTTTGGTGAATCTTGGTGGTAAAGTTATGTAAACCGTCTCATCTAAGTCTCATCTAAATCCCCTTGTAGGAATGCATTATGGACGTCCAATTGATGAATGGACCACAATTTCATGGTAATCTTGGAAAGAAGCAAGCGAACAGTGACTAATTTAGCCACAGGAGCAAAGGTATCATCATAATCTTGGCCCTTAATCTGATTGTATCCTTTAGCGACCAAACGGGCCTTGTAACGTTCAATGGAACCATCTGAATGATACTTGATCTTAAAAACCCATTTACAGCTTATAGGCTTGTGATGTAAGGGTAAAGGAGCAAGATTCCAGGTATGATTTTTTTCTAATGCTGCAATTTCGGTAGACATTGCATCTCTCCATTGTGGAATTTTGACAGCTTGAGAGAATGATTTTGGTTCAACTGTAGAAGACACTGTAGATAAAAAAGCTCTGTGGGACAAAGAAAAATTAGTGTCGGAAACATAAAAAGTTATAGGATATCGAGTAGAACTTGTAGTTACCTGAGAGTCTGATTGAATGAGATTAGCCGAATGAGGGATAGTGGGGCCAATGAAAATCTTTGAGATGGGGTGGTGGGTGTCTCTCTCTGGATGGCTGAGATAAGTTAGGAACAATGGGTGGTGGTGTTGAAGTTGACTCTGGATTTTCATTGGGTAAGATTGTGGGTTGTGTGGAAGGATGACGACGATGATATACTTGTAATGGTGGAACCTGATAGGGTTGGTTTGCAATAGGGGACTTTGGTATGACTTGGGCAAATGAATTGGAATCTATATGATTAGTAGCTAAATCTGAAACTGCTAGTGGAGAAGGTGCATAATTGAATGTGCCATTGTCAAGAACAGGTAAAGGGTAAACTTGCAAGTTTAATGGAGAGGTCGAGATATCTTGATAAGGAAAAGTGGTCTCATGAAAGATCACATCACGAGATGTGTAAATTTGCTTAGAAACAATATCGAAAATGTGATACCCTTTTTGAGCATGGGGATATCCAACAAAAATACCCGGTTTGCCTCTTTGATCAAATTTATTTTTGATGTTGGTATTACGGCCAAAACATAAGCAACCGAAAATTCGAAGGTTGGTATAACTTGGCGATGTGTGGAACATTATTTCATGTGGTGACTTACCACCTAACAAAGGGGTGGGAATTTTGTTAATTATATAGGCTGCAGTTAAAACAAACTCACACCAAAAAGATAATGGAAGATGGGCCTGGAAACGGATGGCACGTGCAACATTGAGTATGTGACGGTGTTTTCTCTCCACTACACCATTTTGTTGTGGTGTAGCAACTCAAGTGCGTTGATGGATGACTCCGTGGGTGGTAAAAAATTGTTGCATGGTGTGTGATAAGAATTCAGTTCCATTATCAGATCGAAGAATTTGAATATCATTGAAGTGTTCATCTATATCACCAACTTTAGAAATGAGGGAATGAATTTTTGAACTAAATTGAGTACGAACCATGGCAAAAAATGATTGTAAGATTTTTGCAGTTTCAGATTTAACATGCATTAAATATATCCATGTAGCATGACTATAGTCATCAACTATAGTTAAAAAAAAATCTAGCATTAGAATGAGATGGTAGAGAAAATGGCCCCCAGATGTCACAATGAATTATTTGAAATGGTCTACTAGTCTTGATTAAGCTATTTGGAAAACATAAACGAGTTTGCTTAGCTTGCGGGCAGATAATGCAAGTGTTATTATTTGGACAACGAATAAAAGGGAATTGCTTACCTAGCATTTGCAAACGATCAGTAGACGCATGTCCTAATCGACGATGCCATAAATTATTGGTGGTAGAATTTTGAACAGAGCAAACAGAGGCTAATTGAAGGTAACAAAGTCCTTCATGTAGGCGTCTTGATCCAATCTTCCTCTTCGATAACCGGTCCTGAAAAATACAAGAATCGTTAGTGAATGAGATAGAGATGGGTTGGGACTGGACCAATTCACTAACAGAAATCAAATTAAATTGAAAGGTGGGTTCAAAGAGGACATTATCAAGACGCATCGATCGTGAGAGAATGACACTACCAATGTGGGTAATTAAATGATCCGTTCCATCTGGAAGCTTAAGAGTGGAATGCTTGGAACAAATAGTATAGGTTGGAAAAAATGTAATGAGGAACTGACATGATTAGCAGCGCTAGAATTGATGATCCATATAGAATTAGATGAGCATGAAAGAGATAAACCTGTCAAATTTGCTTGTGGTGTGGGGCTACTTGACTCAAGCATGCTCAAGATCTTGTTATATTGTTCGGTGGAGAAAATAGGGGGGTGTGGCTGAATAGTGAGATGTGTCTGCTGAAACTGCATTAGCTTGGATGTTTTTGTTGGGGTATCCATGAAGCTTGTAACATGTACCCCTATGATGTCCCAATCGGTCGCAATGATCGCAAAATGGGCATGGTTTCCCACCACGCTGTTCTTGGTGTGAATTGTTGTTGTGGTCCCTAGAGAATGTGCCATTGTTCTGTGGCTGAAAATTTTGTTGAGTTGTCTTTGCACCCGAAGCTCAGTTGTTAGTTCTATTCTCATTGAATCGAGCACTCAAGGCCGCGGCTTCAGGAACGGGATTGGACAATGCATGTATTTCATGCTACTTCTCTTCTTGCCTGACGAGAGGGTAAATTTTGGCAACACTAGGAAAAGGATCCATCAGTAAAATTTGACTACGGATGGTTGAAAAACAATCACGAAGACCTTGCAAAAATTCCATTGCACGGTCTTCTTGAAGCCGAGTTGCAGTGGCAGATCCATGGCCACAAGTGCAAACGGAAACAGTTGATAAGGAGTTTAATTCATGCCATAGGGATTTAAGTAAAGTAAAATAGACGGATACCGTAGTGTTGTCTTGCTTGAGCGAGGAGATTGATTGCTTGAGTTGGTAGATTTTTGGTGCATTAGTCTGTGAGAATCGATCTCGTAGGTCCTTCCAAATGTCACGAGCAGTATCCGCATAGAGAATACTCCCACGTATCTCCGGTGTAATTGAATTGAGAATCCATGAGGCAACAAGATCGTCAAATCTAGACCACTTGGATTTTTCATTTGGATTAGTAGGGATTTTGATTGAGCCATCTACAAAACCTATTTTATTTTTGGCTCAAAGGGTCCTCGAAATAGATCGTAACCAGATACTGTAGTTGTCACTGGACAACATTGGAGAAACAAGGATAGCTGTGGGGCTATCCGAGTGATGGACAATGAAAGGATCATTTGACCCTTGAAGTTCAGAATTTTGAATGTCTGTTGGATCAACCATTGTGAATGAATTGAAGAATTAAGAAAAGACAGATTGATAGAAAATTCAGAGTTGTGAGCAGAGGTGCTCTGATACCATAATAAACAACACTAACAGAGAAGTATTGGGAGAAATATGATATATATTCAATGTGTTACAAGAGGGTATATATAGACTTTACAAGAGAGTATCTCTCAGTTAGGTCCTCTATCTAAGGAAACAAATAGCAAGTTGAGATATTCATGGTCAACTACTTGATTTGAGGAAGCAAGTAACAGCAACTTTGAATGAAAGAAATCTATGTACAGCTAGCAAGTGATGTGGTGGAGCTGATATTCTGATACCTATAATGCAATTCCACCCCTACTTCATCCAAATTGTAGTCTTAGTGCATGTGGAAGCATCCCGTTGGCTCAATGTAGAGGTAGGCATGATAACTTGACAAGATCGTTGCATTGACATAAGCACTATCTTGTTTCTCCTCAACCTCAAATATTGTTCTGTTGCCAGGGAAAAAAAAATAATTCTCAAGCTTTAGTTCAAAGCAAAATCGACTTGAAAAATGGGGCTATAAATAGGCCGATTGCTGTTGCTATTGAGGCGAGCAGTATTGATTGTTCATCAATTCCAGTCCAATTCCATTGTGGGCCTGTTTCTCTCCTAATTCCACTAATGATCCCTAGATTCTCCTAAAAAATACATTTCTCCACTAGGAGTCTCATTCGAAAAGGTCCTAAAGTATACTCTTAAAGGCTAACACTTGCCTTGAGATGGAAAGTTGATTACTGAAGAGGATTTGTGTTGAGAAGGAAAGTGGATAAAATATGATAAATCCTTGCAAATTTGATATTCTTTCCCAAACAAGTTTGTTTTTTAGACTAATCTCAATGCTACGCTAAGGGTAAAGTGCTGTTCTTTCAGGGCTGAGATAGATTCAGAAAGTGGATATATTATGATAAATCCTTGCAAATTTGACTTTCTTTCCCAAATTAGTTTTTTTTTTCCCCTTTCTTTTTGATAAGTATCAATAGAAAGCCTTCAAAAGGGGAAGGCATCCCACAAAAAGCTACAAGAAGCCAAATGGGGTCCTCTAAACTCTCAATATGTCCAAAAAAATCAATTTCTCTCCCATGGATTTACAAATTTTCCAAAATTCCCAATGGTATTACATTTTCCTTTCGTCCTTGCTCAATGATGGAGTTGGGATTTTATTGTAGTGAGGGTTGATTTTGAATAATAATAAGATAAAAGAATTCCATAAAACTAGAGAGATGTGGAAATTTTGATAGGGAAATGATTTTTGCACTCCACAAAGAACTCTCGCACGACACATTTTCCCCCTCATAAATAAATGAACTGAAAAAAATGTCCTTCAAAAGCACTCTCACATATCATGGTTGTTTTTTGAAGTACTCTTAAATCCACTTTTTGAGAGGTAATTATGTCATATCCTTTTTTAATAAATAATGGAATTTGAATGTTTCATCCTTATTAAGGGGGACAAAGCAATATGGGGACAATTTTATAATTATTTCAATAAAAAATAAATTAAATTGGGTAGGTGCAACTGCCCCACCGATCATAAGGTGGCTAACTGTCATCGTCTTGATGATTTTGCCGTGATATGGGATGCTCAGTTTGGCAGACTCATTCATGATTGGGAATTGGAAGAGGTCTTAGCCTTCTTTGATTTGATTTATTAGTAGCCAATGGATAGGGCGGGCAATGATGCGTGGTGCTGGGTGCGGGCCAGGTGTGGTGTGGTGCCTTTTCGGTTAGATCTTATTACTTAGCTCTTTAGGGAGATCAGAAGGACGTTTTGCCATGGTAAGCGATGGGAAAAGCTAAAACCCCTTTAAGGTGGCATTTTATATGGGCGCAAAGTAGGTCTGGGAGGATCTTGATCATAATAGACAATTTGAAGAAGCTGTGCAATAATGCAATTCTTCAACTTGCACTGTCCAGTGGTGAGAGGTGTTTGGGCTATGTTCTTGGCAGTGTTTGGGATGCAGTGATTGTTGCCGGCTTCTGCTTCAGAAACTCTTGAGAGTTGAGTCTTAAAGGGGATGTACAGTGGGTAGACAAACTCAAGATACTTTGAGAGTTGGTCCACTATATATTTGGCGGGGTTTATGTTGGGAGAGAAATAGGAGATCTTTTGAAGTTGTAGTACCATCTATACTTATAAAAGAAAAAAGATGGTGTAGTAGCATCAATATGGGTACTGAAGCACTCTATTTTAAGTTCTTTATTTTTTTGGGGTTAAAGGGCATATATGTACATTTGTAGAGGAATTTGTTGATTTTTTTTAATAGCTTGAGGTTATAGTGATGTTTTCTTTTGTGTAGTTATTTTTTGGGTGTTCTCCGTTTTGACCCTTTTTTAATACTTAACCAAAAAAAAAAGAGATTTAATTATTAGGTTAGTCTAGTACTTCAATATGTAATCGTACCCGATACCAATACCTCGACACATGGTGACATAACCATCGCTTGAGAAGCCACATTAATCATCTAAACAAGGCCCTGACCTTAGGACTCCTTGGTAACCTCGAGTTCCACTCTTGATCTGTTTGTTGAACTTCCACCGTAGTTGATACACTTGGATCGTTGGATGTTTTCCTGATTACATGAAATACTTCCTTTATCTTAATTATTATAGAAATTTACATTTAGTGAACTCCATTGGGGAAGTTATTCTCCTATAATGAAAAAAACGAGGGAACTTGTGCTGTGGGCATGCTTGCCAAAGCACTATGATAGTATGGTGTATTGAAAGTAGACTGAGACGCTAGAACCATTATGTAATATTAGAAAGGATATTATAAAATCTTGCAATTACTGCTTACTGGTAAGAGAATAGGGTACTATTCTGATTTAAATGGAGAAGGGAAAAAAAAAAAAAAAAAAAAAAAATCAAATTCATGTCGCTTAGGGAAATTGTACCTGTGCTGGACCTGGTGATGATCACGGTTTTGATTTTGCATATGAAATTAAACCTTGGGACGGATGTAAAGCGAAGCAGTCATTCTAGATACAATTTTTAAATATTGGATTTTCCGTTTTTTAAATCGTGTATCTCCGTCACTTGTAGTGATTTGAGGAAGCGACCATTCGTTATTCAGACCTGCTTTGTGTAAGACTGGGGGGCAACTCTTTCTTGGGATAAATGACGTAATTTAGTACCCAATTGCCAATTCCAAAATAAGTAGAGAAAAGAAGAGTGCTATTTTTTTCATTGGTAATTCCTCCTTTTTTCCTAGCGTCCAATCAAAAAAAAAAAGTTCGCTAACGTTACACCACTTAGATGTTGAAATGGTAAAGATGTCATAGTTGTTATCGCAGCCACCGTTCTGATAATGCTGGATGGGGGTGTAAACAACATAACCTTTGGGAATTAGGATTCTGAAGTCATAATATCTTTTCTTTTTTCTTTTCCTCGTCTTTTTGGAGTTTTATTTTTGTCTCATGTCTCCTCAGACAACGGTGATACACATGTTTTAACTCTATAATGATATAATCTCATAATTTTTCTTTTTATTTAGTGATTTTTAGTGAGCATGTAGAGATGATTCTGTCTAGGTTTTTAAAATGGTTTTCTGTCACTGTTGGTGGGGAACACTGCTTTGTTTAGATTTTCAGTACTTCTACAAGCCTAAAATGCAGTAGGATGTACTGGTTATTATTATTATTTTAATGATACATTTACATTTATGATAATTGTTTGTTAATCCAAAAACTTTAAATTTAGGTCTTACCTAGAAAACTTGATTTCCAACCTTGATCTAAGTCGATTAAGGTTGGAAATGAAGACCTAAACCCAATTAAGAATAACGAGTGAAGAGAATTGATCTTAAGTTTCTCATCTTAACATCAATTAAATTGTCAAGGCTTTTTTGAACCTGTAGTTTTATCTTAGCAGCTCAAGTTTTAGTTGTTAAGTCGAACGGCATATCTAAGTTGGAAATCTTTTTAGAAATTTATATAATGAATAACATCTTAACTTTTAAAATTCCAATACTGATGCAATAACAGCACCACACATGAACACTCGTCCACTGTTGTCACAGCATGTAATGTGGTCAGGACCTCTGGCTGTCGCGCTTTGAATTTGCCTGACCTTTGAAACCATGGTAACCACGAGGATGACTAGTGGTGGTGGTGATATTGGCAATTTTGTATTGTTGTGGTTGTGAAGGTAAACTTTTCTGCTGTGAGCCTGTGACTGAGCTTTTCCCTAAATGAGCATCTGGGTATAAAGTTGGAGAAATATTAGTGAGAGAGGGAGAAGGTGTTATTTAAAGGGTAAAAAGGGACCCTCTGGGACCATTGTGTCACATGTTCTTATTATCAAGTATTCAAGTGACAAGATCGATGAATAAAAATAAGATAATAGGGCGTGAGAACAAAGTTGAATGGATTTGTGCATGGCAAAGCTGGAAAACAAATAATAGGGCTGTGGTGCTGATTTTCAATAACCATTTCATGAGTTTTTGTAGTGCAAATTTTAAACTCGTTCCTGGATATGATCAAATGGTTACTATCTGCCTTGAAGTCTATCCTGACATAGTATCTGGGATAATTTTGGAAAAGAGGACCTAGTAGCAAGCGAAAATTTGCAAAGAAAAAAGATTAAAATCATAGTTATTTTCAAATTTCTTCTTATTGTTACTTTTTCAAGACAAGATAGGAGATGCGAGTGAAAATGTGACTGCAATTTACGAGGAAGAGGAAAGGAACATTAGCATGGCAGAACTTGGGAATGGTTTCTTCTGTTCCTGGCCATGCTTGGAAGCAAAAAGTTACAGAGTGTGAGATGATATTTCCAGAAGTCCTCTCTTTCTTATTTTTTATTTTCATTCATTTATAGGATTGAGATCTATATCAGCTATATTTTTCTGGTCTTAATGTGTTTGGATCCTTTTCTTCTCCATATAGATTTTGAATGGAGGTTGCTACTTACATGTTGCACAAGAGCCAAGTTCAGCAGCCCGTGGAATGATACCAGAATTTATGTTTCCAAAGACTTCAACCTTAAGTTCATATAACTTAGGCAATGCTGAGCTGGGAAGTTCATTTTTATCTCTCCTTTCTGGTCCACCATCATTAGTGCAAGGCGATTTACAGCAATTGTCAATTCCGAAGCCATTCAATGCCTCCACAATTCCTGTTAAGAGCAACGGTGTCGTGGTCAGTGCTGCTGGAAGTAGTGTTTCATTTGCACCTCCTGGGCTATTATCAGAAAATCCTAGGAACCAAAATCCAAAAATGGGAGGAAATCTTTGTCCAATTGTTTCATCCAGGGCGAGGGCAAGTTCAAATCACTGCAGCGCTTCTGGGTTGCAGGATGTACATCAGGCTGCAAACTTAAATCTTCAGAGTTCGGAACTTGCTAAGGTGGTCATCCATGGCACACTTCCTGTCAATGAGAAAGTAAATGATATTTCTTCTGTGAGTGGGGGATGGCTTACTACTACAACCCTTCCTAATGTTGGGAAGTTTCATGGCACGAATATTCAGGCATCACAAAAAGTTCCATTACAAAGTCACTCTTCTGTTTCTCATCATTCATCTACTAATACAAGTGATTGCCCTCGTGTGTTTTGTTTGGGTGCAAGTGAGTGCTCAAGGTTTCCTCCCTGTTGTTGCTTTGGTGAACTCTTTTTGCATGATATGTACTGCAGTCTAATAGCTGATCTCTTATTAATCTGAAAAGGTGGCGATCTGCTTCTCAGCAATACAGGACTTCTGGGCATTGTTTGCTCTTGTCATGGTTGGCACATGTCGATTTCCAAGTTTTGTGAGGTAATTTCTGGTGATTTGCTTTATTTTGATACTATGATTATTTCATCAAATAATTATATATCTTGTGGCACTTAAGCACAGCTGCACTGCTGTAAATGTATGTTTGTGTTTAAACAGTTCTAATTGCAATTATTTTGCAGCATTCAGGATTATGTAATGTTAACCCTGGGGATGCTGTTCGTTTGGACAGTGGCGAGACCATAGCTTATTGGCGGAAGCTTTACTTCCACAAATTTGGGGTATGTTATCTTTATTTTCTGTTTCATGGAATACTTCTGCATCTCATGCTTTATTAGGATTCTGATATAGTCATTTGTGCATAGGCACAGAAAATATTATCCCTATAGACTCACGCTAGTGTCATTTAAAGAGGCATGGCGTTTTTTCTTCTTCTTTCACCCCTTCCTCTCCTGAAAAGAACTCATGTACACTTCCTATTGATTGCTGTTACCTGCATGTGCCTATACATGCATGCATATATATTACTCTCTACGTGCGTGTGCACACACCCCCATATTACTTTCTACCCAACGACCTAACTATTATAATTTTTATTTTATTTTTAATATTTCTTTGTTGATCCCACAAGACTGACATGTCTGCATAACATGTATCATCTCAAATAGGAGTACTTCAATGTCGTCACAAGAAAGCATGTTCAGATATCATCTGATAGCTATGAATATATTCCGATCTTTTCAGCAAAAACATGCCTATTTGTAGTGCAAATAGGCATGAGAAGGCTAGTTTGAGTATAAAGAGCAATTGTGGAATGTTAGGTCAGTATTCAGTCCACCCACCTGTTTATCCCAAACAACTTTTGCGGCCACTTTCCAATAGGACTGATAGACTATGTGATTGTTACCAAAGAAGGTTCTGATTAGGTCACAGTGTGAGCAGTAAACTATACGCCGGGGGGGCAGATATTGATTTTAAATTTTAGTTAGTTGCTCAATTTTCTCTGATTGAATTGGGAGTAGAGACATGGATTTTTACTTGGAAAATTCTAAACAGGGAAAAACTATGGGACCTAGTCCAATCATGAACAATCCACTATGAGAAAAGGGTCACAAGTAGGTTCAAGTTTGATTTTTCCCACGCTGAAGAACCTAGTTACCTCTTGGTACAAGCCGTAACCAAACTCATACTCCGAGTGTTCAGGCCCCTGATCTCTCCATTAACGGTCTTTGCTTCACGTAATCTGCTTCTTCATGGCTCAAATCTTCTACTCGGTATTCTGATTACTTGAATTGCTTTTTCTTGGTAATCTAATGTGGTTCTCCTTGTCGAATACTGAATCACATATGATGAATTGTAAAAGGAAATCCTAGATTGAGTAAAACGGAATTTCTCTCTCTCTAGGATATTTGCTCTTTAGATGATTAGAGGCATATCTCTACCCTAGACCGACTATAATTTGTATCTGTAGCCAATGTAGGTAGTTCATATGTTTTAGTTAGCTGAATGCTTGTAGAATTTGATTTTGAGATATTTTCCAAAAATAAAACTTTCGTAGGGTTTGATCGACACCTAAAATGTCAAAGAAAAATTCCTAACTATATTCTGATCGATCTACTAATTATTCAAAGCTTACTGGAAGACCTTCAATGCATTGTCCTATTGTTTGATGTTCACTCTGTTTCATTAAAAAGTTAGTAATGAGTTCTTTTCAAAAATCATAATTTAAAGAACCAATTTAGCAAAAAAAAAATTTATTTTTGAGCCTCGCCAAGATTAAAATTAGGTCATCTAAGGTTTTTATAATGTCATTTACATGTGCCCTAGATATGTGATAGAGATTGTGATAGGAAAAAAAATGTTTATTTTGTTCCACGTTCTTCGCTAATCTTTTTCAACATTGTCTTTCACAGTTGTACTGTTCATGACTCTTGACACTAACGCATTAAACCAAAATTTTTACAACAGTTCGCTTGACAAGACGGCAGATGGCTAAAGCAGTCTTAGAAAATGAAAGTACTCAAGGGCAAGTCCAAAGATACAAGAAAGAAAGAGAGTAAGAAAGTGTCAAACACATTACTCATTTACCTAACAGTCTCTTCCTTTAGCAATTTCGAAACAAAACTCATACAATACAAACATTAAAATGATTGACTTAACTGAAAAATCCAATCACTCTTATATGTACATAAAAAGAAATAAAGAAAGACCCAGTAACGGTCACGAACAACTTGATCTTGATCAACTTCAGATTATGCTTTTCTATGATCTTTGGGACACAAAACATTCCCAAGCAAAATACGGTCTAATAAAAATGTAAACTCCACTATATCCCAACTTTGCTATATAAAACACTCACCTCTACCCCCAATATGCCATCTCATTTATTCACACTTTATCCTCCCTTTTGTTCTACCCCCAATATGCCATCTCATTTATTCACACTTTATCCTCCTTTTTGTTATGGAGTAGACGAAAATATTAAGTGAAACTTTTGGGGGAGAGATTAAAAACAAAGGAATCAAAAAATTTAAACAATTTAATTTAATTTAATTTTTTTTTTTAATTTTTAATTTTTTACTCCATCCTCATCATTGAATAACATAATGACACTGCTAACAACACATTACTCCACAAAGTATTATAGATCAAAGTGTCTAGCTACACTATATCGATGAAGAAAGTCTCAATAAGTTTAACTTTTTAACCATTAGTAAGATGTCTAACTTTGTTGCCTTATGTGTGAAAGTGATGAACTAAATCATTAAGTATATTGATTTGAGTATCGACAATGTTCATGTTATTTAGTAATCAGTCATGAAGATTTCTAGACAAAAAAAATAAAAAAATAAAAAAAATAAAAATAACATGGGCCTTTGAATTTATTTCATATATCATTCAGTATATATATTTTACTTATCCAAACCTTGAAGGCTTCCACACTACTCACCAGCTCTTTCCAAAGACAATATTAGTCATTTATATATATATATAATTTTACTTTTGTCTTGGAGCTTCAAACAAATCCCATAGGTAGCCTTTCCAGAGTTTCTTATGCATCGACACTTTTCTTTTGTATATTTATTTTCTTGTGATATTATTATTATGATTATTATTTTCTTTTTCTTTTTTTTTTTGGTCTTTTGTCATGTAGGTAGTCATCTCAAATTCCCCAATTATCAAGATAACATTCACATGTTTCAGATCAAATCTAAATAGTGAGTACTCTTTGGTGTTCTCATGTGTACACAAATGAACTCCATTGAGTCAAGAACTAATGGAAGAGAAGTAAATCAACTAAATATCAGCTTATCTCCAATGACAATTTCAACACTTGTTTTCATATTATTAAATAATAAATGTCTCTTGTATGTTGCAATCTTAGGCTGCGTTTACTAACGAGAAACATTTCTTGTTTTCTGTTGTCAACCTCTAAAAAGGCAAAACGAAAACAAAAATCGCGTTCAATAAAATGTTTTTATTTTTTTATAACAGAAAACGTTTTCAATTTTTGTGAAGAAAAGAGAAAACATCAAAATGATGTTTCTTATGTTTTCGACACTGTAGTAGAGAAACGTTTTCACTAATGTTAGTGCACAGGCACTATTCATTTCAAGTAAAATTCATAATATTTGTGTTATATACTATGTTGCATATTAAATGTTAACAAAAATATATATTTTTAATATAGAATAAATTAAATAGTATATATTACTTTTTATTTGATAAAAATATATTTTAATATATAATATATTAAATAATAATGTAAATGATTTTTTGTGACAAAATAAATTTTGATATAGAATATAATGTTATTAAACTATTAAGCAGTAGATATTTTCTATTATTATATATCATATCTATATTATATTATATGTAAATACTAAATTATAATTAATTTACAATATTATAACACAATATATATTTTATTACATATAAGATATATTATTTAATATTTTTTATTCATAATAAATTATCATATGCTAAATATATTATATATCACATGATAAATGTATACATCATGCATACACATGTATTTATATACATAATTGGTGGGAATGTTTTTGTCATGGTATATCTAATTTTGTACTTATGATGTATTGAGTATTTTTAAGATTTATAATTTTAAATTAGATTTTCTAGATTTATGGCTTTTTGATATTAATGGAAGCAAGTGTCGTGCCTGAGTGGTTGGGTTGTTCCCTGTGTCCGAGAGTTCGTGTCTTTTTGATATTAATGGAAGCAAGTGTCGTGCCTGAGTGGTTGGGTTGTTCCCTGTGTCCGAGAGTTCGTGTTCAAATCATCTACCCTTCCCTCTAATCACTAACTCCTTAAATTCTTGCCATGAAAAAAATAAAAAATTTAAAGAATATTATGTACATTTTGTAACAAATATGTTGTATTACTAAACACAATTATTGTTTTATGTTTTCAAATTTGTGGCAACAACAAGTGTTAATAAACAACATTTCTGTTTTCTATTTTCACTTAAGAAAACAAAATCATGTTTCTGCTTTCTTAAGATGCAAAAACAAAAACGAAAACGTTACTAAACGTGCCCTTAGTTTCATCATGTTTTGTTTTGTTTTTCCCCAGGAAATTTCTTAGTTTCATCAGTTTACACAACTTGAAAGAATCACATATGCATGGAACTAAAAAGTAAAAATGAACACATACTAAATATTATAATGTATGCTACCATATATAGGGAGGTTATTCACCCTGTTCTTTTTGATAAATGAACTTCTTTCTTTGTCTTGTTCTTAATATAAATGTCAAAAATATTCCTAATACTTGATCTTCAAATATTTTTTATTTATGAGTTAGGGACACTAATGTCATTTCAATTTAAAAGTTGAGTGCATTTATCAAAAAGGGCAGTGCAATATTGCCTTCCCTATATATATATATATATATATAAATAAAATTAAATTCAATTATCACAAGAAAAAACACCAATAGCCTTCCTAAGGTATTCAAACGTAGTTGGGTATAATGGTTTTGTCATGATATCTGCTAATTTATTATCAATGTTAAGGTTTTCAAGACTCATTATGTCTTCTTCAACTTGTTCATGAATAAAATGATGTCTTGTGTCTATATTCTTAGTTCTGCAGTCCACTAGCATATAATTCATCCATAGAAGTTGTGTACAACAACTCCCCGCTGCTCTGTTGTGTACTTCGCTTCTGCAAGGACATGGAAACAAAATCTTGTTTCTTACTAGACCAAGCTACCAAGTTTTGCCTTGATAGAAACAACCATCAGATGTGCTTATTCAATCATCTACACTACCTGCCAAACCTTGCTTATTTCTAAAGTTTTCTTCTGTTCAGCATATTCATAAGCTCTTTATCAGATTTGGAGCCAAAAATAATATCTACATATGTTTGGGCAACTAAGGGATTGTCTTCAAATTTCTTAATAAATACTGTCTTATCAGCTCCTCTCTCTTAGAATTTTGTTATAAGAATTTTTTTTTTTTGATAAATAAAATTTTATTAAAAAACGCTCAAAAAGGGGAGCGGATCCCAATAAAAATACAAAAGACCACAAAGGCCTCAAGCCTTTAAGGAGGCCAAAAAGTCAACAATCTCCTCCAACGATCTATGATCTCTCCCTGAAACCCAACAAGAAAGAGTGGAAAGAATCGAGAATTTAAGCACCAGAATCAACATCGTCTTTCCTTCAAAATATCTCCTATTCCTTTCAAGCCAAATACACAACCACACACAAAGCGGCGTAGCCCTCCACACATCCTGACTATGAACCCCCACAGAGCAACCTCTCCACGCCTCAATCAACCCTCTAGCGGATCCTGGCATAACCCAAGAAAACCTAACTAAGCCAAGCATCAAATCCCAACACTCTCTAGCCAAAGAGCAATGAATGAGAAGGTGATCCACTGATTCCTCATCACGATGATACATATAACAACGATTGACCACCACCTGGCTTCTCCTTTTCAAATTATCCTGGGTTAAGATCATAACCAGAACCGAAGTCCACACAAAGAAAGCCACCTTGAGAGGAGCCTTAGAACGCCAAACAGACTTCCAAGGAAAACGAACTCTAGGATCAAACGAGAGACACTAGAAGAAAGACCTCACCTCAAAACACCCTTGGGAGTTTGCAACCCAAGACCAACAATCCGAATTCTCCTCCACAATCCTCTGGCGATACAACAGCTCCAAGAAACGAATGGCCTCCTTGATCTCCCAATCCTGAAAGAGACGCCTAAATTGAACATCCCAAACCAGTCTCCCATTATCAAGATGATAACAGTTAACCACCAAGGCCTGTCTATCCGAAGCAATCCTGTAGAGCTGAGGAAAAGCGAGAGCGAGAGGAACATCTCCACACCACACATCATCCCAAAAACAAATCCTCCTCCCATCTCTAAGACGAAACCGAATGTGTTTGGAAAATTCATCCCAACCCTTTCGAATAAATTTCCAGACCCCCACCCCCCAAGGATCCCTTACTTCCAGAGAACTCCACCCTCCTCTGATCTCCCCAAAACGACAAGCCACAACCCTCCTCCAAAGCCAATGTCTCTCCACAACCATTTCCCAAGGAGGGCCTTATTAAAAGGCACCAATCTACGGAGACCCAACCCACCATTCTGAATTGGCCTGCAAACCTGTTCCCATCGCACCAAATGAAACTTAAACTCTTCACCTCTACCCCCCCACAGAAAATTACGCTGCAACCTCTCAATCCTCTCCGCAATTAAATAGTGAGTTTCTTATACCAAGCTCTAGGAGCTTGTTTCAAGCCATATAGTACTCTCTTAAGCCTATACACATAATTAGGATATTCAGGGCCTACAAAATCTTTGGGTTGTTCCACAAAAACCTTTAATGTAGTATACTGTTTAGAAATATGGTCTGAACATCCATTTGGTATAACCTGAACTTTCCGTGACAAGTTATGACTGTAGTATTCTAATTGACTCTAGTCTTCCTACAACTTCGAACGTATCATTAAAATCTATATCTTCTATTTATGTGTATCCTGAGCAACTAGTCTAGTTTTGTTCTTGCCACTACACCACATTCATCTAACTTGTTCTTGAATAGCCACTTGATTTGTATGACATTTATGTCTTTAAGCCTAGGAACTATTGTCCAAGCATCATTCCTAGTGAATGTTGATGTTCCTCTCGCAGTGCATTAATTCAATCACTATATTTTTCCCTAGTTAATTATACCACTATTTCCCAAGGCTTCTTCAACATTTTTAGGTTCTGTTCAACATTTTTTTTTTCCAGTATCAATTTCACCAATTACTGTCAGTTGGGTGATCTCTATACTTTGTTAGAGGCATTTGGTCTCTTTTTAGGTTCCTTAGATGGAGTAATTTGAATGTCATCATCTATACCTTGATTTTGTCTCATCCATTATTTTTTTATTTCTTAAATTATATACATGACAAGCCCTACTTTCTGAAGCATAGTCTAGAAGATGTCCTTCCTCATCTTCTTCTCGTGTGTTTTTTTTTTTTTTTTTTTTTGGTGGTTGTTGTTGTTCTTTTAAATGTGTATGGTGGGTGACAGTGGCTGGTTTGTTCAGTAATTACGCATTCTTTCTCTTTGGAATTAAAAATTGTATTTCTTATTGGCATGTGTTTGAAGCACCGACGACTCTGGATGGTGATGTTTTTATGGTGCTTTAGATTAGGGTTCCAGACGATCATAGCGGATGGGATTGGCCTGAAGGATTCTCAGCAACTGCTGGTTTGGTGAAAACCAGAACAACTTTGCCCAACATGTCCAGAAATTCAGACCTGTCTAATCTGATTGGTTCATCCGGAGCATCGGTTAGGTCTGGATGGTCTTGGAATGATGCATGTCCAAAGAACCCTTATACTGGTCAGAAATTGGTTAATGAGGTTTCCCAAAATGAAAAGCTGAAAAATGCTCAGGATGGTTTCAATTTTCTCCACAAGGGCTTTATTGGCACTTCAAAGAGCAATTTGCACCCAATGGCTGATAACCAGAATATGGAGTGCCCTGTGTCTAGGTATTCGACGGCGTCAAAGTTAGTTGGTTTAACAGGACCAGATAATGGTTCTCAGTCCATTTCCGCTTACATTGATTCAATCTCTAAAAGTAAAAGTTTATTCGTTTCCAGCACAAATTTGCTGAACTTAACAACCCTTGGTGTAGATTCTTCTAACAGCAGATTTAACTATTCAAAGGAGGGTGATATTGTGGACAGAGAGGCAGTTCCCTCAAACTTTGAGTTGAGACTTGGGCAACCTTCTCAGCCGATTCAGACTCGGGGAAATCCAGTTTTACCTGCCTTTGGATCTCACCTGTTTTGCACAGTTGGTGATCCCCAGAAATCACTCTTAGCGGAGCAGCTGATGCATAATAGTGCGTGAATAATGTGCTCTTAGCTCTTTTTATTTTTATTTTTTATTTTGTCATATACGGTCTCTCATCGTAGATCTGTTCCTTTTACACTCTCTTTCTCTCTCCATCTTTATAATATAATGCAATCCACTGTTTAAATTATTACTCTTGGACTTTTTTTAATGCAGCTAGCAATTCAGTGGTAATGGAGAGACGCAGACAGTTTATTCGATGTGCTGCTGACACTTCTAATTCCAGTGCGAGAAGAGAACAAAGCCTATTGAACACTGTGAACAATGCATCTGGTGTGAGTAATGCAGTAGATGCTGCTAAAATAGAACATCTCAAAGGTGATACGGCTAAGGTTTCAGGAATTTCTATGTTGCTTCCGCACTTGAATACTCCTCTTGAAGGAAAGTTGCACTTCAAAAACACTAACAATGTGGTCAATAGTAGTGAGGATGTTATGCCTATGACACATTGTGAGTCTCGTACTCTTAACTGTGATCCAATTAAATTTCCTTGGAATAGAGGGGGTGAAATAGAAAGGAAGTTGATCATTAATGAACTTGGCCTTCACAAACGTATGGACAAGGGAAAAGCAGTGGGAGATATAGCCGATGACTGTCATGTTGCAACTGAATCAAGCTTTGGATTTCCAAGTAAGCATATTGAAAGTTCAAGCTCTTTTGGTGCAGTTGGCAACGGAACCGGTAATCATACTTGTTCAGTGGTACATGACAAGGGATCTCACCAGTACCAGTTCCCTGGCATGCTTCCTTATGCATGTGATGCCAGAAACGCCTTAAACTATTCTGGGAAAAAATCTTGCCTCGGAAATAATGGCCACGTTGATCGTGTTTTTCTTAGATCCATCAGCTCATCCATGGATTCTGGACTAATTGTGCCTTCACAAGAAGTTCCAATGGGGGTTTCCACAACAACATCGATATCTGTACCTCGTCCTACGTCAGCACTACTGAATAAGGAGGGCAGTGGTATAAGCCCCTATTTATTGGATGATAACTTGAGAAATCTTGCATTTAGGCATATACTGGAGTCATCTAACCAAAACCATTCCTTTGCCCCTTTTGGAACCAACCAAGAAAAAGGGAGATTCATCAACTCCTGTGGTGTGAAGATACAAGGTTCTATTGTCCATCCGACAATGTCAAATGAACAAAGGCATGGACCTGATACCACTAGTAAACAGGATGCTTGTGAACTTGCTATGAAATCACTCCAATCTGGTGTTACTTGTTGGATGAGTCATGATAGTGAAAATTTTGCTCCCGTGGCAGGTACATACACTGCTTGTGTCATGAAATATATTATTTATTCTCTGCTGCTGAAGGCTTGAATTACTGTAATAGTGTTTGTAATTAATTTTACCCATGAAGGTCTGAATAAATGGTGCGATTTCTCAACATTCTCGCAAGCAAATTCTGTGCATCCTAAAGGACTGGAAACACAATATGAAATCTCTCGCAGTCCTCATCCAAACAATCAGTCTTCATCGAGGTGAATTTAGATGACTTAACATTTTCAAATGGAAAACGTAATTTTTAAAGATTTTTTCATTTTATTTGTTAATGGTTGATCCCATGGTTGTCGGTTTTGTTTTGTGGTACATCATTTGATGTTTGATATACTCATTTCTATATAGCCTGAAGTGATTTTGTTTGTAGAGTGTAGAAAAGTTTTAATAGCAGTACTACCGTGAATTTTAATGTTGGTTGTTTTATTTCTTGGGACAACTCATTTGGAGAAACATGTTACTATAAATTTGGGAGTTATGTTTATATGTCACTTAGGGGCCATCTCTTGGTGCTTGAAAGAAGTGTGACGTTACAGGTTCGATTTGGAGGGCAACCACTTTGTGCTACAAAGATTTAGTTCGCCTCCTGTCTTCCTCTCCCAACACCCGGCACAATTAGTTCAATTTATTCATCATAACAATTTGACTGTGAAATAGAGCAGAAATGTGTTTTTCAGAAAATAATTTCTTTAATTCAGTAGCAAAGACGTTGATTACCTCAACTTGAGACATATTTTCATCGTGGTATTGATCTTTCACCTTCAAATTTCCCAATTTTTCAATAGAATTAACGAAAAAATTGTTCTAATTTTTCAACCACCCTCTCTCTCTCTGTGTCTGTGACCTTATCGAGCTCCATATTTTTGTTGGTCTAAGTTTATTTGTTTTGTACTTCGGTGCGATTGATTTGATTTGATTTTTTCTTGTTGGGTTAATGACCATTTGATTTGATGATTTATTAGTGAGGACTGCTGGTGCAACGCACTCAGCATGGGACCCTAGGGAGTATTGGTTTGACGGGTGAGGTTCTTGGGTGTCACTGCCAGGGACGTAGGGAGTTCATGCCCAAGAGGCAGGACCTGCACCCGCCCCCCCCCCCCCCCCCCCCGGGGCCGGATTTTCTCCCTCACTAATGTTGTATATACATTTCCTTATAATCTTCTTCTTCTTCTTTATTTTTTTGTTTTTGTTTTTTTATCATTGGCAAGAAACACCCTCCCACCCACTCACACACCCACTTTGCCCCTTTGGGGACTCGAAACCCTCACCATCCCCTTTGGGAGGTTGGGGATATACCACTAGGCCACGAGGCTCTTGGTTCCTTATAATGGATATATGTTTTTTTGGAAATGTGTAAAATACCCCCCCTGAATTTTCTCCCTCCCTTATATTCTATATATGTTTCCTTTTTTTTTTTTTTCCCTAAATGGTTTCCTTATATTTTATATATGTAATTTATTAATTTACCTCATCCCAAAAATTTCTCTCTCTCTCTCTCTCTCTCTATATATATATATATATCCACCTCTCTCTCTATCTCTCGTGGTCACTATGGCTTGAGGAAGCCATGGTGGCACTCTTTGGCCTATCATGGAGAAAGGAAGAGGTCTCCCTGGAGTGAAGCAAGCCCTGGAAGCCTCACGTTTTATGCAAGACTTACCATATCACAATTGCATTGAATGCTTTGTCCTCTCCTTTGATTTAATTAGGTAGGCATTTTGCATTGAGCCCTCCAAGTAGTCTCATCCCCATCTCACTAGGGACCAACGAATAGTCAGACGGTCTTTACCGCAGATTAGCCTAGTGCAAACGGAGTTAATGGTTCATTTACAACACACAACCACCCTAGTAACAAAGCATTAAAGCTCCAATCAACCTCATCTTCACTCCAAGGGAAAGTACAAGAGTTGTTGCCATTCTCTTCATCGTGGCCCCCTCAGTGGGCCCCCCATGGGATAGTTTGGACTTCCACTTAGGCTTTTACTCACTGCTGCTCCATATTGTTAAAGTGATTCCTCATTCTCTAGAAACTCACATCAACACCTAATTTCTTTCTTCTCCCCTTATTGCTGCCCATATAAATCCCTTAGTCTATCTAGCTTCACCCTTTTCACCTGTCTTCTCTTCCCCTTCTTCTAGCTTCATCCCTTCTTCTGTCTTTTCGTTCCTTGCTTTCTTTCTGATTGTAATTTCAAAGCATTTTCGGTGCTTCATCAAGTGGTATCAGAGCAATCTTTATTTTTAGAAATTCATCTAGACATGCTCAAGTTTGTTAGACCTTTCCACATCATTCATAAATCAGGATTAGTTGATTTCCCAACAAATATTAGTCCAATTTTCCATGTGGGGTATATGTTTCCCTACCGAGGAATCTTTGAGCCTCCTATTCTGTTAGCCTGTTTTCATTCCTACTGGTGGAGCTGCTTTTTTTTTTAGCATCAACTCTAGTTCTTCCAGTATAGAGGTTTGATCTATTATTTTCTTCCCCATTAGAGTGGTTTTTCATTACCAAAAATATTCAGTGTATCTTTTATTCGATGGGGTCCAACCTCATATTTTTTGTGAAGTACTGATGATGACTTTTGCCATTTTGACCTAGGCTTCTGAAAGCATTTCTGCGTTTTACTCTTCGGAAGAGAGTTTCTTCCACTTGGGGAGAATTCATGGAGATCGAGATATGACTCACATGCATGAGCCACACGTGATTCGCTCTACTTTTGAAGAAGGGACAGGGTTATATAAAATTAGGGATTTGGTAATAATTAGGGTTGAATTTTTATTATTTTGGTAAGTTAATATATATATATATATATATATATATATATATATATATTTAGTGTTTGCTTATGATTTTTCCTATAAATAAGGCTCCTGTAGTTGGGTTTCAAAACGTTTCATCGAATTGATTATTTAATATTGAGAGTTTTGAGTTTTTTCTCCTATTTATTATTATTTTTTTTCTACCTTTGTCCCCAGTTTATCTGACCTCTCTCCCTTCCTCTGTTTATTTGTCTTTTATTGGAAGTGATAAAACACAACTCAAACCCGACACGAATTTAGTGGGTTTCTGTTGGCCATAATCATGGTTTTGTAATAATCATGTAAACCCAATAGCCCGTTTTGTTAATCATGCTATGTGTTCTGATTTGGAGTCTCAACCTGTTTAACCCTGTTTGATTTGTTTGTTTAATCGTGTCATAAATGTGCCGGGTCAACCCGAATCAACATTTGACATATTAGTTGTGAAGCATCTGAACTTGTTCTTTGCATTGTAGGGTTTCAGATTTTCTTAACAATTATAATTTTTCTTCTGCTTTAACTTTTTTTTTGTTACAAATGTATAGGCTCCCAACTATGTCATTCCAAAAGGTAAGGATGATGATGATGATATCTCATAAATTGTATCTTAAGATGCACTTTATTTTTAATAAAATTCAAAAAATAGGAAAAATGTGCCAAATAAAATTTTACAATTTTTAGAATGAAAAGCATTGATAAGATGGTAGATAGGAAAGATCTATATATATCATATGTATATATATATTAATATATTAAAGTGCCAAATATTTATCTACTTTGGGAGGAAAATGCTCGATAATGTTCAGTATGTTCAATTTTGACAAAGACTTGAGTATGGATAAGATTTATTCGTCAAAAGCATATCATATCTTTTCCATATTACTTGTTAATAGAATGGATGATACAATATGATAGAACTTATGAATGCTTTCATTGCTTGGCTGAAAAAATTGAAGTTTAACTGTTTTTTGCTTTAGTATTTCGCATTTGTATTACTAAATTTAAATTATGCACCGTGTAATGTGTTTCTAGTTTAAGGATCCTTTTCATGATTCATCTCCTTTAATTTTGCCTCCAATGGAGAAATTGATCCCTAATTTTCTCATGCATGGATGGATAAATGTATGGGACTTTTGCAAAATGTCTCCTTCGCATGCTATGTGGTTGTATTTTGTTATAGTTTAGGCCCTAAGTTTTTTGGTTTGTACTTCTTTTGTGAGCAGCTTGTCTGCTTTCATAATTTTCTTGCTTTTCTTACGAAGTTCTCTTATGTTATATTAGTGAAAAAATAAAACCTTGTGTGTCAGGCATCTGTGTCATTTCAATGTTTTACAGGCAGTTATTAAGTCGAGAAAGGTGTCCTAAATATCATTTGTACATATTTACACAAGCAAAATATGAACTGAAGCTAATGTTATACATACATATATTCAAACATAGTTCTCGCATAGACGGCTAGACGCAATTGGCGATTTTGGGAGAAATATAGTAAGAATTGAAGGGGGGAGAGGGTGGGAGTTTTTTTTAGTGGTCGGGGAAGGGGGGACTGGGCTAGGGTACGACCAACTATGTTCCCCATGTCTCTGCCATAGCTCTCTTACTTTTTCGTTAAAATTTAGCATGATAAATGCTTACAGTTGGCCCCCCATTTGTACTTTTTATGTGCATGTGCATGGTGACTGCAACCTTCTGCTTTATGATTTGGCTTCAATCTGAGAACTGCCCCCTAATTTTTTATATATTTATTCTAAATATTTTCTCAATATGTGGGATTTGGCAGAAGTGAAAACACCATTTCTCCATCAAGCGAGCTTGTAAAATGCTGTCAGAGAGTACCATGTACATATTTTCCAAGCAAGTGCATCTGTGCTTTCCACGCAAATCATGTAGTCAGTTGTGACTCTAAAGGAAAAACTTCCCTTGATGCTGTTGAAGAACATGCAGGAAGTATTTGTGGCAAAGCCTCCCTTTTATTTGCTTCAAGGTTTGATGAAGAATATAATTTCCCAAAGAAAAAAGTTGTTTCCTTAGGTCAGAATGAGAAGTTAGAGGGGCAAATTCCTAAGAAAGCTGGTACTCATGGTTTCCAGTGGAGAGATGTGCCAAGGAAGGCAACAGAGATTTGCAGTGTTGCATGTATGGATCAACCAGCTGATTTATTGGATGGGAGCCTAAACGTTGAGGATCAAATTAGTGTTGCTGCTACTGAATGCTTCAACAGATCTGCTCAAGATGCGGAGTGCTTGAAAGAGCAACAAATGTCTAATGTTTCTTCTGGATGTTCTGCCCCTGCTGTTACTCAGGCATCAATTGAGGTTAATAACATGGATTCTTGTACTGTTGATGCTGGGGATACTAGATATACAAAAGATCTTGTAGTGGATGAAGGATCAGGCATTGACAAATGCTGGTCATCTGATGACGCACTTGACAGCGAAAGAAGTGCTGAATGTTTTCAGTCTTGTAAGATCAAGTCGATAAATGAAAGTTCTTCTAAAGCATTACCTAATCAATTCTCTCGTACTCTGATTGACGACCTTAGGTTCAGAGACTCATTCTGGCTAAAGAAGGTACAAAATAAAATTCATACTGGGAACACCATACATGAAAAGACCAATCATGCACAAAAATCTGAGAGTGGCTTCAAAACTGGAAAGAGAAAACAAGCAAGCAAGTGGAAGATGCGAGATGCATCATTTTCTTCCTCTGGCTTTTCTTCATCCCAAAATGAATCTCCAAAATGTATTGGTAATGCTGAATGGCATTCCAGTTCATCCAGTGATATGCAAATGCCACTTAGATCTGACCAAGGGATATCTCATAATTGTGCGTGTTCAGCTGGTCCTAGTTTTAAAAGGAGGAGGTCTGGCTTTTCTTCTTCCAAGACTATGTCTCGTAAAAGAGATCTACACAGACTTTACATTGAAAGGGAGGGAGAAAATGATTATCAAACACAATTGAAGGTTAATGGTAAATGTGTTGAAATTCCAGAAGCCTCTGGCGGGAAAAAGTTAAGATCAGGTCGGACTGCTCTGAAAACTAAGCAGTTCCGGATGCAAGAACAAAATTGTGCTGAAGTTGTGAATTTTGATTCCGCAGTTCGTATGATATCCACTTATGATCAGCCACTGGGTGTTTGTAATGGTAGGGAAAGGCCAGTAGTAGCTGGGAAGTATGGTGTTATTTCTAATGGAAATTCATCGAAACCGGTAAAAATCGTTCTTCTTAGTAAGATTTTTAAAGTTTCTACAAGATGTGAACTTACTGAAAATGACGAGTTTAGGTTAAATTCCGTGAAGAAGTTGAGGAAGAGAAGTGTTAAAGGAGGCAATGGATGCTTTGCTAAATTGTCTAGTTTTAGGAAAAAGGGAGAGGGTGAAGGTCACGATGCTATGGTTTGTAGTGAATTAGATCCTGACTATTTTATGGAAGATGCAGAGACGGCTTGCTTTGGGGGAGGTAAAAAATGTGATGATGAATCATACATGTTGGAGAAAGAAAGATATGATGGCAGTGTGAAGAATCGTAATATTCCAAGCAGTTTTTTAAGCACTCGATTGAAGACAAAGAGTAAGGAAATTCGCAAGCGCAGCCTTTATGAGCTAACAGCTGAAGGTAAATGTAGAAAGCATTAGCTTCTCTTTCACATTAATGGAGATATATCTATATATAGAGAGATATATTTTCTCCTCAAAATGTAGGTGACTTTATATGACCATTCAATTATTCCAGCTTTGGTGATTTCAGGGTGATTTGACCCTTCTAAGTGGGGGCTTTCTGTGTCTTCATGGCTATCACACCTGAATAAAAAATAAAAATAGTCTTTTGAAAGAAGAATTTGCTGAATTTTTTTTAGGGTTAGGGTGCAAGGACCCCCTTGAACATAAGTACTGTGCATATGACCCTCCTAAACAACTAAATTGTAGATAATCACCCTAAAGTTTTCAAAAATGTTGCAAATTACCACCTTCCGTGTACTAGCCATGAATAATAAATTGACGGAATGCGCCTATTAGATATGTCCTTTTTTATGTCTTTTCTTATATTTTTATTTTTTTACGGTTTAAGTGAAAAAAAAAAAAAAAAACCCTCTTGATATGAATATTGTGCATATAACTCCCTGTAGTTTGGAAATCCTCCCTGATATAATTAAAAATGCAAACAAGGACTTGCCAAATTACCGTTAATGAAATAAAAGAACTCGAGTAGTTTTTATAACTAGAATAGAAAGGATTTAAAAAAAAAAAAAAACAAATTCAAAACCGGTAAAAATCGTTATTTTCCATCCTTTTATTCCCCTTTCTGTCTCACAAGACCGGCCACGATAAACCAGCTTAGGAAAATAGGCACTGGCAAAAAGATTTTCTTGTAAAAAAGACCTAGATGACAAGGGAGGATAAGAGGTTTATTAAGTCCCTTGATAAATATAAAACAACTTGATAACCCCCCACAACACACCCACACACACACACACATTTGTTTTGCTGATGAATCAGTTACATGATTAACGCATGATACACAATCAATTTATTAATGGCCAGTGGACAGGTGGTTACTTGCAATTTTGTTGTGTATCTTAAGGAAGTTATCTGCAACACTTGCAGTATATCTAGGGGGTATATAAGCTCCATATTATATTACATGTGGTTTTTTTTTTTCTCTCTTCTTGGGGGGTTGCATTTAAGCCTTATTCTTTTCTTTGTTCTATTCATATAACGGTATTTGAGTGTTTTCATTTAACTTTTAACAGAAAAATGAAGGTAGGTCATTATTTGCACCTTTTTAATACCTCAGGGCGGATTTCCAAACATCATGGGTTTATATTCATTATAGGGTTTTTTTTTTTGGCACTTAACTCTTGTTTTTATTTGTTAGAATTGTCCTGCACATATTTGTCTGTAATGTTAATAACTGTAAAGTTGGCTAATGGAGGCTATTGACTATCCCTAAAGGCTTTTCATCTCTCGTTTTTGCCAATGATTAAACCATTTTAATTGTGTTACTCCCGTCCCACAAAAAGTGTCCACCTTTCCTTTTTTGGCTGTCCCAAAATAATTGTCCCAATTCAAAATCCAATGTACTATTTTTTAATATTCCTAATTTACCCTTCATAGAAGGGTATATTTGGAAATTCAAAATCATGTGGTCCCACCATAAAAGGGTATATTTGGAAATTCATTTTCTACCACTATAATAAAAAAACATTAAAAACTACTCTTAAAAAGTTAAGTTCCCAAAAAGTGTCACTTTTTATGGGATGGAGGTAGTAGTATCAATAGATATTCTTTTTGGTTTTTGTTTTATATTTATATTTTGTGTTTTGTTTTATATTTATCTTTTGTTTCTTTTCATCTCCTTTTATATCCTCCAATAAAAATGGAGTGTGTAAAAAGTTTGATCCACTATGGTTTGTGGGCAAAGATGCCAGTAGCGTGTGTTGGAATTAGCTTGTACGGAAACTGGCAACTCCCTATATCTCTATACAAGACAAGACATAGTCTCAGCACATAATTTTCTTGTAAAATTTCTAAGTTTATATAGTGGAGTTTTAAAAATGCTCAACTTAGTGTCCGACATTTGTAACAGCTGTTTTTAATTTTTAGCCAAAAAAAAAAAAAAAATGACCTTCATGTTATAATTTGTTAAATTAACTAGTCTCATACATAGTCAACTTGACAGCTTGTTAACATCCTAGTCTTGGGCATTGTTTAGAATCCCCTAGCCTTCCTATGTAATTGCTCCGCTACTTTTGTCCTCCTGGTCCTCTTGCAGGTCTTTTAGGCTCACTTAATGAAGTGCACACCTGGGCAGAATATTTTCCACTCACTGGCATCTTTAGTTTGCCCTTAAGTTGGTTCTTCGATGAGGTCATTCGAAAATACAGATGTGTGGCAGAACAGCTATTGCTGATTTTAGATTATTTCCCCGCCTTGTCGCTGCTATTGTCCTTGCATTTTTTTGTTTACATTATTTTCTTAAGCCTGTTGCAATATGCACTATTTTTCACATGATTTGTATTTATTTTTTTTTTTTTTCTGATCAGGAAATGGTTCATGTAATTCAAACTTTTCTCCTGTGAAGATTTCAAAATGTGAACCACAAACAAAGGGCCAATATCTGGGGAAGTTACTAAAGAATACTGAAAATGGTAAATGTCTTGCGGAAGAACTATATGGTGATAACAAGTAAGCTATCTAATAATGCTCTTGATTGAAATTTTGTCATCTTATTCACTTATCAAAAAAAAAAAAAAAAAAAAAAAATAGTCATCTTATTCTGTACAATGCTCTTAGAATTTTTATCTTAGCTACCTTATAAAACTATTAATTATTATGGCTTATGTTTAGATCCACTAAAGAGCATCAGTGCCAGTCCTCTACTTTGGGGTTGGGTGCATTTTGCTGTGTTTGTGGAAGTTCAAATAAGGATGAAATTAACTGTTTAGTGGAGTGCAGTCGATGCTTAATCAGGGTATGTGGTTACTAAGTTCATTTTTTGCTTGAGTTTGAACCTATTTATTTATTTATTGTAATGGAGGGTGTCCCCACAGGGGTTGGGACTAATCCCTTCGGGTACCCGCAATCACCCCCAAACCATGGGTACTGGTGAGCCTAGAGCGGAGGCTTGACACTACCAGGAGTTGAACACAAGACCTCTAGGTCAGAGGCCTTGTGCCAACTCAGCTAACCCGTGGGGGTATCTACTTAATTTCTCCTCCTATGATTTTATAAACTCTAGCATCCTGATAAGCAGGTGCACCAGGCTTGCTACGGTGTTTCCAGAGTACCCAAAGCTCAATGGTATTGCAGACCATGCAGGACTAGTTCCAAAAATATTGTACGTAAAATGATTATGAGTTTGTTCTTACTCTCTTCAAAAGTTGCTTCTTTCCTATTCTACCTTTTTTCTTGTGTTTTGTTAATCTTCTATGAGAGTTGAGCTATGTTTGATTTTGTATCATCTTATAAGTCTGAACGAAGGGATACTGATTTCCATCTGAGGAATCTTTCTTCCCTGCCATTTTGACACTTATTTAGCTGGTCCAACATAGATCTGTTTGAGGCTATTAACGTACTACCTGTCATGTTTCTGTGAGATATGGCGTTGTACTGTACTAGATTGTTAGTTTTGGTAGGCGGTGTGTAGAAGGCTTATCATTTTGATAGTACTGACATCGTCATTTAGTTTGGCTATATTCTTCAGTAGTTATTCCCGATTCCTGTTTGTTCCTGAAGTATTTGTGCTAACTACAAAGGGTTGTGTAGCTTTCGCACTTGAATATGCACGAGTTTTGGATCATTTATTTTAGAATCATTGGATCCACTTTTCCACTAAATCACTCAAAATTGTCTTTCAAATGGATTCAACTCTTAATTTTTTAAATTTTTTTGAGTATTTTTAGATAGGGAAATTTTTTTTTCAATATTTGAGTACTTGACAAGCATGTTCTAAAAGTGACTTGAGACCACATAATTGAGTTCATAGCCTCATTCAATATGTTTGATGACCAAACTGTTACTGCTACTTGTCCACAAGATCAATATGTGGCCGATAGATACAATATATTAATCAAGACATTGGTTGTACTGGACCATTTGGTTTTTGTTACCTGTCTAATTAGTGCTGGCAAGTTCTACGATTTATAGGATTTGATGATGAAAAATCATATGCAATACCAACAGGCTAGTGGCCTAACGGTATCAGGCCCCTACTTCCCAAAGGGAGGCCAGGGGTTCGAGCTTTAGTGGAGGCATCTGAGTGTGAGTACCAACTAAAAAAGAAAAAAAGTAAAAAAAAAAAAAAAAAAAAAAAAATCATCTGCAATGTTGATGCCTGGCCTTCAAAATTTATATCTAATATAGACAATCTTGTTTTGGGTTTGGTCCACTTCATTTTGAACTGCATATCCAGATCCTCACCAGTGCTCCAGTCACTTCAGTAATTAAGCTTCCTGAGATGTAATGGTCACATCCTCTGCTCATCACTGCTTGTAAATGACCAAAGATTTTTGCTGTTGCTGGTTTTTATAGGTCTCGTAATGCCTTGAATATTATTATTTAAAATTTTATTACTTTCTTTGACAGGTTAATAATCTCAGTTAGGTTCAACATTTGAATTTCATTTAGTTTTCAACGTTGTGTTGGGTTTCTAGTCTGTCTATATCATGCATGTGAAGATATAAGAGAGAGGATGCCTTGCTGCTCAAAGTGAATAAAAGGATTCCACAATTAAAATATCGTGAGGTGGAAAACTAGCTGGGTAGGGTGAAGTGGTTGGTGGCGGCCATAACCTAACTGCCTCTAGATCAAGTTTGTGGTGGGTGCCTAATTATCAATCAAATTGCTTCTCCATCCCTTCCCATGACTTCCCATAAATTGAATAATATCACGTCCCTATCGCAATCATATTTCCATACTATTGCTTCAGAGCTTGGTTCACAACCAGCTGTCTAGCTAGTATGCTCGTTGATTTTTTAAACAAAAATTATATATTAGTTACTCACTATTTATTTATTATATTATATTTCTACTTTATTTTATTTTTATAAAACCATTTCAAAAGTAAAGTTAAAATTACCACAATATTTACACTATATGACTTGAGGTCTACATCTCACTATGCCGTGAGCATCTCTACATTTGGCTATTGCTGTCACCTTAAGCAGACCTGCCTTTCTGTCATCACTCATCAGAATTAATAAAAATTTATATATTGTTTATATAAAAATTCAATTTCGATGGGTGATGCAGCAGCGGGTAGGGGTGATTCGAGAACAGAATTCAAGTAAATAAGAAAGAGGTTAAGATAGAGATTGAGAGAGAAATAGAATAAGAATAATAGGGGAAGAAATCAGAATGAGAGAGAAGAGAAGAATAACAGAGGGAGAAATCAGAATTGAGAGAGAAGAAACCACAATAATTTCTGAATAATAATCAATAATCAATATCAAAAGTTGTTTTTCACAATGTCTAAACCAACATATAAATAGGCATCGAAGAAAAACCCTAAAATTCCTATTACCATAAATAAAACCCTAAAATTCAATTATAATTTTTTTTTTTGTTTTTTTTTATAAGTAAAATGTATTAGAAGGCGTTCAAAAGAGGAACGCGTCCCAAGCTATACAAAAAATTGAAACTATGATCTCAAGGAGCCCAAAAAGTCCACAATATCCTCAATGGAGGAAAAATCTCTCCCCCAACCTTAACAAAAAAAGAGTACAAATAATAGAGAATTTCAACACCCCAATAGAGGACTCCTTCCCATCAAAAGATCTTCTATTCCGCTCTTTCCAAATACTCCACCAAACACAAAAGGGGGTTACCCTCCAGAAGACTCTCGCCTGAGCCCCCATTATAATTATATAAGCAAGCCCTAATTCTATCTTCTTTCCCACATCTCCAATAGTAGGTGTGGGCCATATGGACTTCAAGCTCTCGGGCCAGGCCCGGTTCTCCATCGATAGGCCTATGCATTAGTACCTTACTTGACAGAATAAAATGCCTCACCTTATAATTTTGCTATTAAAAACTGTTAGCATTTATGATACCACGATTTATGGTATAACTTACCATAATAGCCGAGATATGATAGGCCCAAATTATGGGATGTGATTTACCATATTATCTGTGAGATATGATAGCCACTAATCATGTATTTGACTTTATTTACGCATATGTCTAGGCATAGAATATGCAATGATTTGATTTTGTTTCCTTTCTTGTAATATGAGCATGTGCTCATTTTATCTATAACTAGTAGAGCTGTGAATGGGTAATTCATCTAATTCAAGCCTTTACGCAATTCTCTCTTTTCTCTTCTTTCTATTTCTACTTGGTATCAGAGCCAACACCTTTCCACACCTTTTAGCAGCCTTGCTACTTGTGCGACAGCTACCTTAGGTTGTTTGTGACATCGTGTGACGTTGCCTGCAAATGTTTTTCTGTGTTGCTATTTTGTGATCGAAAACAGGTATTTTTAAGTTTTACAATTTCTTTTTCACTCTTCTAGGGTTGGGTAAATTGGGATAGTTGGTTTCCAATACCTAGAAGGGCTTGGGTAAAAAAAATTAGTTTACAAAGAGGTTCCGAATATTAAGAAGGAGGCTGTCTGGCTATATGTAAGCGGGCAGCGCTCCTTAAAAAAGGTATGTATTTGGATTTTTTGGGAATGGTCTGAGGAGACATTGTTTATGGTCTGAGGAGACCCTTTGATTTATTAACAGAATTTGTAGTGTTTTTGGAGTTCTTTTTATTGTCGTGTGACAGATTATGGCAGATTCAGGGTCCTCGACTGCTAATTCTCTTGGCTCACGTTCTGTGGGTGGTGGTGCCATTTTTCCCACCAACTCATCAAAAAATCCAGGACTTCAAATCACCACAGTGAAGTTGGATGGTTCCAACTATTTGATTTGGGCACAGTCTGCCAAGATGTTCATTGGTGGCAAAGGCAAGATTGGCTATATTACTGGTTCTGAGAAAGAGCCAGTTGAGTTAGAGAAGGCATATCCACAGTGGTTTGCAGATAACGCTATGGTTATGTCTTGGCTAGTCAATTCGATGCAACCAAACATAGCTGTTGGCTATATGTTTATGAAGACTGCTAAGCAGATTTGGGATTCAGTTCAACGCACTTATTCTCAGAGGCAGAATAATGCACGAATTTTCCAGCTGGGGCGAGATATCACCAGGATTTCTCAGGGTGACTTGACTATTTCAGGTTACATCGCCAAGCTTCGTGCTATTTGGGAGGAGATGTCATATTATGATTCCTTCCACTCTTGGAAGGATCCAGATGATGCAGTTTTATATGCAGGAATTGTGGAGAAGAATCGAGTGTTTCAGTTTCTTGCCGGGTTGAACGACGAGTTTGAGTATGCTCGTGTTCATTTATTGGGCTTATCTTCATTCCCTACTCTTGAGGATGCATATTCCTATGTGTTGTCAGATGAGAGTTGCCGGACTCATCCATTAGGTGTTGCTTTTGTTGATCGTTCTGCTATGGCAGTTCGGATTCCCAACCTTTCAAGAACTTCATTATCCCAATCAGTTTAGAGCATTACCACCGGTCCTCCTCTGGGACGACAACGTGGATGATGTAACCATTGCGGAAAAATTGGTCACATCAAATCTCGTTGTTATGCCCTACATGGACGTCCACCGCAACAGAAACAACAGCCTCGATCCTCTGCACATTCTGTTACACAACCAGTCTCGTTATCAACTCCTGACAACTCTGCCTCTACATCTTCTGACACAGTTACCTTGACTCAAGCTGATTTGGACAAGTTCAAGCAATTCTTCAACCAAATAGAGGCATCATCTCAGCCAACCTCCACTTATGCCCACTCAGGTACTATTGCGTCTGCACATAGCGTATCTACATCTTCAACACCATGGATCATTGATTCTGGTGCTTCAGACAATATGACTGGTATGTCCTCACTCTTCCAATCTTATAGTATCTGCTCTGGTCAACGCAAGGTCCGCCTTGCGGATGGCTCTCCATCTTCCATTGCTGGGAAGGGTCACATATCAGTTACTCCTTCATTAACTTTGTCAAATACACTTCATGTTCCAAAGTTGATTACAAATCTTATTTCTGTTAGTAGCGTTACCAAACAATTAAATTTTAGTGTAACGTCTTTCCCTCTCATTGTATTTTTCAGGATCTGGTGTCGAAACGGACGATTGGCAGTGGGCGTGAAGTGGACGGTTTATACCTGTTGGATGCTCCTTTGTCACTGCAAGCACATTCAGCTTCATTTTCTAATATTGTTTCATCTAATAAAGCCCAGCTTATGCGTTGGCACATGCGTTTAGGACATATTTCTTTTGGTTATTTGAAACATTTATTTCCTTCCTTATTTTGTAACGTGGCAGTGTCAGATTTATCCTGTGAAACATGTCATATGGCTAAACATGTTCGTTCCAATTATCTTGCTAGTAGTAATAAATCTGCTTTAACACCTTTTGATCTTGTTCATTCAGATGTGTGGGGTCCTTGCCCAGTTACTTCTAGTCTTGGATTTCGATATTTCGTGTTGTTCATTGATGATCATAGTCGTGTTACTTGGGTTTATCTTATGAAAACCAAAAATGAGGTATACACCATTTTTAAAAAATTTATGACAATGGTTCAGACTCAATTTGGTCATACCATTAAAAAATTCTGATCTGACCAGGGTACAGAGTACACTTATGGGGAGGTACAACGGTTATGTACAGAATTTGGGATTGCGCATCAGCTGGCTAATGTTAAAACTCCTCAACAGAATGGTCGTTCTAAGAGAAAGAATCGCCACATCCTTGACTTAGCCAGAGCAATCTGCATTGGCATGAATGTTCCCCAGTCATTTTGGGGAGATGCAGTTCTTACCGTTGTTTACATCATTAATAGGACTCCTTCTAGGATTCTCAACTTTGCAGCCCCACTCTCAATCTTACATCCCAATTCATCTCTATTTTTGATTCCTCCACGAGTCTTCGGGTGTGTGTGCTTTGTTCAGCAGTTGGGGCAAACTCGTACAAAGCTTGACCCCAAGGCTTTAAAGTGTGTGTTTTTGGGCTATTCTCACTCTCAAAAAGGTTATAGGTGTTACCATCCTCCCAGTCGTCTGCGGTTTATATCCATGGATGTTTCTTTCTTTGAGCATACACCATACTATAGTGGTTCAGTTGGTTCTCAGAGTGAATGTTCCCATTGAATATAATGGATGATCACCTTCTTCCGTCTTCAACTCCTCTACCATTACCTGTTTCTTCTTCTATAATTCCTCCTCGTGATACCCCTTCAGCAGGGGGAATTGTTCCTTTTTCACAGGTTTATAATCGGAGACAACAGGTACAAGCTTCTACTCCCACGATCGACTGCCCTGTTCCTTCGGCACCAGCTCCGCCTTCTCAAGCTATTGTTTCGCTTGATGATAGCCCCATTGCTCTTCGAAATGATAAACGTTCTTGTACTTACCCTATTTCTAATTTTGTTTCTGATTATGCTCTCTCACCCTCCTATCGGAGTTTTCTTGTTTCTGTTGCCTCGGTTCTTGTTCCTTCCAGTGTTGCAGATGCGCTAGCACAACCTCAATGGCGTGATGCTATGACAGAAGAACTACAAGCACTTGAGAAAAATCAGACTTGGGACATGGTTCTGCTTCCTATTGGACGAAAGGCTATGGGTTGTCGTTGGGTGTTTACAGTCAAGCATAATCCAGATGGGTCAGTTGCTCGTTACAAGGCCCGATTGGTTGCCAAGGGTTATGCTCAGACTTATGGCATAGATTATCAAGAGACTTTTGCCCCTGTTGCCAAGATGAATACCATTCGTGTATTATTTTCCATTGCTGTAATTCGATCTTGGCCTCTATTTCAGTTAGATGTCAAGAATGTCTTTCTTAATGGTGATTTGCAGGAGGAGGTGTACATGGTTCCTCCTCCGGGCTGTCGTTCTCCTGCTCATTCTGGTATGGTATGTCGTCTTCGTCGTTCTCTATATGGCCTCAAGCAATCTCCTCGAGCTTGGTCTGATCGCTTTGGCACTGCTATGCTCAAGTTTGGTTTCCATCAAAGTGCAGCTGATCATACCTTGTTTTTACGTCATTCAGGCAGTAAGACAGTTGCTCTCATTGTGTATGTCGATGATATTATTCTTACCGGCGATGATACTACCGGAATTAATGAGGTTAAGAGCTATCTTGACCGTCAGTTTGAGATTAAGGATCTTGGTCCCCTACGATACTTCTTGGGCATTGAGGTGGCTCGCTCCAAGACTGGCATTTTCATCTCTCAACGCAAGTATGTTCTTGACTTGCTTTCTACTTCTGGTCAGCTTGACGCTCGTCCTACTGATACTCCAATTGAGCAGAATCATCGGTTAGCTGATTCTGAGGGGGAGGAGTTGTCAGATATTGGTCAATATCAACGACTTGTGGGGAAGCTCATCTATTTATCCATGACTCGACCTGACATTGCTTATGCCGTGAGTGTCGTGAGTCAATTCATGCACTCTCCTCGTGCCCCACACCTTGATGCAGCTATTCGGATTCTTCGCTACTTAAAAGGGTGTCCAGGCCGTGGTATTTTGTTTGCTAATCATGGTCACTTACGCGTTGAGGCTTGGACAGAAGCTGATTATGCAGGATCAATTTCAGATAGGAGGTCTACTTCAGGTTATTGTACCACTATTGATGGTAACTTGGTTACTTGGCGTAGTAAGAAGCAGGATGTTGTCTCTTGATCTAGTGCAGAGGCAGAGTATAAGGCTATGGCTCTTGGGGTAGGTGAGTTGCTTTGGCTGAAAACCTTGATGACAGACTTGTGCCTTCCAGTGTCGCTTCCATTCTCACTCTACTGCGACAACAAGTCTGCCATTAGCATAGCAGCAAATCCCGTTTAGCATGACAGGACTAAGCATATAAAGGTCGACCGTCACTTCATTCGAGAGAAGATCATCTCTGGTCAAATTTGCACTCCATTTGTCACAAGCTCTCAGTAGCTTGCAGAAATTCTTACAAAGGGCGTCAGCAAGATTGTGTTTGAGAATGCATTGTCCAAGTTGGGCGTTTCAGATATTCACGCACCAACTTGAGGGGGAGTGTTAGCATTTATGATACCACGATTTATGGTATAACTTACCATAATAGCCGAGATATGATAGGCCCAAATCATGGGATGTGATTTACCATATTATCTGTGAGATATGATAGCCACTAATCCTGTATTTGACTTTATTTACACATATGTCTAGGCATAGAATATGCAATGATTTGATTTTGTTTCCTTTCTTGTAATATGAGCATGTGCTCATTTTATCTATAAAGACTAGAGCTGTGAATGGGTAATTCATCTAATTCAAGCCTTTATGCAATTCTCTCTTTTCTCTTCTTTTTATATTTCTATTAAAACCATGACATGTTGAAATGGAGGAATGGGTTGGTGAACCAAATCCTCTTCTCCTCCTCAAGACATCCTCTTAAGAGAAGAGAAAAGATCCCCATTGTCCCATTCCCCCTCTTTAAATGGCCAATTCAGTTGTTCTAAGATCTACGAGGCTTAACATTTTTGTGTTACTTGAATTGTACACTTGTATGCATTTTGGCTGAAGTTGCTTCGCATCGAGTCCATTGAGGCTTTATTAGAAGTTTCAAGCCACTTGATACTATTTGGAAGCATATGTTTCTGGTTGTTTGTGTGTGCTAAAGCATGGGGAGGAGTTGCAGATCTTACTTGTACGTTATTAACACCAATGTGTTCCTCATAAGGATGATTTATTACTTGTGTAAATTTTGTTTGTTTCTGCTAGAGTAGGGTTTAATTCTCTAGATTTTTTAAAATTTTTATTTTTATTTTATGCTAGACTATGGAACACCATATTTTGTTAATTTAGTAAATTGGAAGCGGAAATGTGTGTCTACTGAAAGTTGATGTCCAAAAGATTCTCAAAAGTGTCTGTTCTTGCTATTGAATGCACTTCTCCATATTATTCATATTCTTAATTCTTAGAGAATGGGGGATCGAGGAATACAGTGTCCATAAAATTAGTGTCATATGGGCAAATTACCTCCGAACTGTTGTAAATCTGACATCTTGTTGGAAATGCTAAAATACGGCTATAACAAAGTCTGTTTTTATAGCATCGATGTTGAGAATCAATAAACATGTTCATATACTGTTATCGAAAGATTAAACAAGTTCCTCAAGTAAATGTAGCTGCAATTATGAGTAAGGTGGACGAGTGGCAGTGCAAGCTAAAATTGGGAAGGGGGAGTATGTGTTTAGAGGATGTTATAAATTGCCCCTGGTTGAAAAGATGGGAGAAGTTAGGTGATGCTAGTTCAGCTTGTGTAAGAAGACCAGTTAATGTGCTGGCGCATAAATGATAAATACATCAAAAGTACAAGTGGAGGGCCAAAGGTGACATGAATTGGTGCTGTAAGAAGGGCATAATTACTGTTGATTAAAAGAAAATATGGCATATATAGTGTGTTTACCGATGAGGATTTATGAAACCGACCCTTAGTATTTGGTTACAAGGAGGAAGGCACCAAAAGTGCAAGTAGAGGGCCAAAGTAACGTGAGTTGGTTCTTTAAGAAGGGCATAAATATCATGAATTTAAAAGAGGATATGGCATACTGTATCCATAAAGCTTACTGATGAGGATTTATGAAGCTTACCCTAGTATTTGGTTACAAGGCATTATTGGCTGTAGTGTGTACATTTTTATGTATGTGGCTAAATTTTCTAGGACATGCATATAGAATTAGATCTTTCTCTTCAAATATTGTGCTCTCGGATCATATGATGGTCACATTCTATTTTTTGTGCTGGCTATGGTATAAAATCCGCTTGCATTTCCTCTCTTCCTCAGATGTAGTATGTTAATAGTTTAGTGATTTTGTCATTGCAATTTGATGGCATCTAGGTCTGTGTTCTCTGTGGTTATGGAGGTGGGGCCATGACTCGGGCACTGCGGAGTCACAATATTGTGAAAAGCCTTTTGAAAGCTTGGAATGTTGTGACTGAATCCGGGCCTGAGAATTCAATTTCTCCTTCTGAAGCTTTGGAGGATCAGTTGAGCAAATTGTCTTCAAGTTCTATACATGATAGTGATTCATTTCATTTTATCCGACCTGTACGCATTGAGTCATCTTCTACAGCAGCATGGAAAATAGATCCACAGAAACGGTTGGAATCTGTAAAGGATTCATCTCGTTCTTCTGGTAAATTGAAGGTGGACAACAACATAACAGCAGGAGTTCTTGACTCAACTGTTCAGCAGTGGGTTCATATGGTTTGTGGACTCTGGACACCAGGAACGCGCTGCCCAAATGTTGACACAATGAGTGCTTTCGATGTATCTGGTGCTGCTTGTCCTAAAGTAAATGTGGTAAGCAGTGAACTATTAATAATATCTGAGAGGCAATAACAGGGAAAAAAAAAACGATACTTCTATATAATATACTGTAGTATTTAACAGCTGAAATGACCAAAAAATGTCCACATTTTGAAAACTTTCATCATTGCAATTTCTTCATTTTTGAAAATGAAAACCGGGAATTTGTCTTTGAAAGTGAAAGGAAAAAAAAAAAAGGATGTGGAAAACGATAACAAATTGACCCTCTTTGTTTCTTACGCTTTCATGGACAATGTATAACCAATGGTCCACATGTGCTTTTCTTCTTTCCAGGTTTGCTCAATGTGTAACCGACCAGGTGGTTCCTGTATAAAGTGCAGAGTTATGGATTGCTCTGTTCAGTTTCATCCCTGGTGTGCTCACCAAAAGGTTTTTACTTCTTTTAGAATCTAAAATTAAATATTTTTTTATGTAAAAAGAGATGCAAAGTTCTAAGAAATCGGGTATTAGACCAATTTGAATGACGTTGATCTCCTCTACTAAAACTTTTATTTGGGGAGTCATTTTTTCAGTACCTTAGATATTTGTTTAAGCTCACTTTTTCATAATTTAAATACCTAATTTTGTTTGGTAAATAATAATGGTTTATTTTTAGAACAAAAGCATCATTCTTTTCATTATGTTTGTGAGTGATATGAATGCTTACCCTAATGGGAGGTATGCCTCCCTTCATCTTTGTGCTGTCAGTTTTCTTTCTTTTTTTGTTTTTGTTTTGTTTTGTTCTTTTTGTGGTTTTGTTTTTGTTTTTGAGGGGTTTGGCTTTGAAGAGCTTCTGTTATCATTTTGTGACATAGTTGGGCGGATAGTTTGTTGAGTTGGGCCAAGTTATATTTGTACTTATTGGCAACCAAATGCTGCTAGAATTAGCTTTATTATGATAATGTTCTTCTCTATTTTTGCATTGTACATTCAAATGTCCCTGAAGAAAAAGTTAATTAATAATTTAAGTATTATTTTAGAAGGAATTATGTGACATGTTATGGACTACCAAGACACATATCACAAGCAAGGCCTGATGGCCATCGTTGAACCTTATCTAGGTCTTTCGGCAAAGATCACTTGGTTCTCGAACTTCAATATCATTGGCGGTTTTCTGTGTGCCTCACATCTTAGTTGTTTTGGTTGCAGGGTTTGCTGCAAAGTGAGGTTGAAGGTGTTGATGATGAGAATGTTGGTTTTTATGGAAGATGCGTGCTTCATGCAACATATCACCAGTGTGATTCAGATGGTGATCCTGTTGATACCGAAATTGGTCATCCTGGAAAAAAGGACACATGTGCTCGGACAGTGGTATTTCATCTGTTGATTTAATGTGTAAGGTGCATTGATATGCAATAGAACAGAGTATTATTCTTAATAATTTTTTGGCCTTCTCAACTAGGGCTTCAAGGGTCGGAAACAGGAAGGCTTCCAGCATCGTCTTAATTGTCAATCTAGTGGCAGTGGTGGGTGCCTTGTTCCACAAGAGCAGTTAGATGCATGGATTCACATTAATGGGCAAAAGTGCGCAAAAGGGCTTCCAAAGCTTCCAATTTCAGATATTGAGTACGATTGTCGGGTATATTAACGTCACTAGATTTTCTTTTTGTGTTCTTAATAATTCAATTAATCTTAAGGAATTATGTTGCTGTAAGGTTACCTTGAACATTCAATGTATAGGTATTGCAACCTGTGATTGATTGTTAAATTTTTAGTTAAATGAATATTTGATGGTATAGCATACTACTGCTTGAACAACTTTTGCGTTTTTCAGCAGAAAGCTCCAGTAGCTGATATTGTATTTTTTGCGTCCTCTTGCAGAAAGAATACACACGTTACAAACAGTCAAAAGGTTGGAAGCATTTGGTAGTATACAAGTCGGGCATACATGCCCTTGGTCTTTACACATCTCAGTTCATTTCCCGTGGTGCAATGGTTAGATTCTCTCTCCCCTTTAAGAATCCAAAACCTATTTTTCTTATGGCTGGCAAATCTAATTTTTTTTGCATTTTCTGTAGGTTGTTGAGTATGTAGGTGAGATAGTGGGGCTCCGTGTGGCAGACAAAAGAGAGAGGGATTATCAGTTTGGAAGAAAACTTCAGTACAAGAGTGCTTGTTATTTCTTTAGGATAGATAAAGAGCATATAATTGATGCGACCCGTAAAGGTGGTATTGCTCGGTTTGTCAACCATTCGTGCCTGGTAATTTCTCTCTTCCAAATATCTATTTCAGTCTGTTCTGTAAATATGCTAGCGAATTTGAGGAATTTTTATCTTTATGCCACTTATTCAAGATAGAATAAACTGAATGCACCTGTAAGACTTGTTTAAATGCCAAATTTGAGTTTCTAAAAAACTTTTTTCTTCTTTTTAATTAACTAATAGCTTGTCAAAGTCGGTTCCTCGGGTAGCCATTACATTATCTTTGTAGCATCCTCATGGTCTTATAATGTTGTTGGAGAAGTTCAGGGAAGTTTGACATCAAATTTCTATAAAAACCTTAGTTATTGGCAGCAATGAAGATTAAATAGTTTAATTATTTCTGTTGTATTTCCACTGGACTTTGTCTGCTTTAATATGGTTGGACTCACCTTTTTTCTTTTCTTTTTTAATTCATGTGACCAGCCAAACTGCGTTGCCAAGGTGATTTCTGTGAGGAATGAAAAGAAGGTAATTTATGGGTTTATATTACTTGATAACTTTCTGTGCAGTAGGAAAAGTAATCAACCCATAAACTAAGTAGTTTGGTTCAAGGGTTGGAAGTATTTCGGTGCAGTTTGCCCATTGACTGTGATTTGTGAGACCTATGTCAGGACTCCCGTATATCTTGCTTGGATGCCACAGGAAGTGATTCCTGGAATATGATACTTTGGCACCGCTTTTTAAACAATTGTTTTCGCTGGGCTACATGATTTAGCAGCAAAAATCTGGGCTATATGTTCTCTTTTTGAGATCACAGGCACCATGTTTCCGTAATTCCATGTTAGGCACAAAAATTAACTACATGCTGTGCAGTTGTTTGAATAGTAGCCCTGGTTCTTGTGGCTGCAAGAAAGATACTTCAAAAAATAGCAATTTTGGGCACTTAGCTTGAGCTGGACCTTTTGTTCTTTATTTGTTTTTAGAAATAAGAATTATGGAAGAATTTCTCATGTCCTGTTGTTGTTTTTATTCGCATTCTTTGATTTTTTGTTCAAATATTGTTTCATTTTTGCGTCCGGTATTTCTTAGTAGTAGATGAATTGAGAATATTTGTTAAAAAAAAAAAAAAAAATTGAGAATATTTGTTTAGTAATAACAAGTTCAAGAACACTGGATTATTAATTGGTTTCTGGGCATGCAGGTGGTGTTTTTCGCTGAGAGAGACATATACCCCGGAGAAGAGATTACTTATGACTACCATTTTAACCACGAGGATGAAGGTAAAAAAATACCTTGCTTTTGCAATTCAAAAAATTGCAGGCGTTATTTAAACTAGGCAAGCTTGGTGAAAATATATTTTCCTGTAAAGCACTCATTTTTTTCGAAGATATCAATCCTGTATGGCTGTCAATATTTGGCTTATATTACATTAAATATGGTCAAGACAATTTAATGAAATATATTCCTGTCGTTGTATATGAAAGTTCCATGAAGGCAGAATATCACTGGGAATGGATGTCTCCCAATTGATCTTTAGTTTATTTTATTCATTATTAGTGTTGGGACTGTTTGGGTTGGTTGTTACGTTCCAGTTTTGTAATATGTCTGCGTTTAATGGTGCATATGACCCTCCAAGAAATAAATATTAGCTTGCATGGCCAAAAAAGATGGAATAAAAATTGCTTGCAAGGCTAACAATTGTATCATTGTCATAATTGAGTGATATATATATCATAGAACAAATTTGTGAAACATTATAATATGTTGATTTTAACTTCTTTATCAGATGACTTGCACTTATTCCCTCTGTGAAACTGCTGTTTGATTTTGACAGCATGCTCAACTAGAAGGCACACTTGAAGTAGGTTCTTGTCTGAACTCATGCTTAGAATGACTTGTTATGTTGAAATGGCAGGGAATTTTTTATACTGACAGGAGATCTGTCGAGACTTTGTTTTGTTCTATACTCTCAGTGAAAGAAAGGAAAGGAAAGGAAAGGAAATGTGAATGAAAAGAAAGGGAAAGGGAAAACGAAAAGAAAAATGATCCAGATTTTCTTCCTGTTTCCCCAAGAAATATAATTTCCTTTCAATTTTCCTTTTTTAATTTTCCCGCTAAACGGTATATAAAGCAGATGAGGGTGGTAATTGATGGGCTTTGCAGATTTTTGTTCCCAAGTGCGAAGGTTATGTTTTCCGAGTTTATTTGTTCTCTGAAAATTCAGTACTTGTTAAAATATCACAAAGCTTGGACTCACTGTTGCAGAAGTTATGGTAAAAGGTGAAAGAATGTTTGCTTTAAGCATATCCATAGCTCTGTCATTGTTGTAGAAGTCGAAAGCTTTAGTTGCTGGACTCTTCTGTCATTAGTATTATTATTATTATTTTGTTCTTGATCTTATAAGCTATTTGTAAGCACAGTTTTGAAAGGTGTACGATAATCACCACCAGGCTTTTCTCAATTAGTTGGGATCAGCTACATGGATTTTATTTTTTCATTCAGCTTTAAGGCCGTACCATCAATCAAACCACATGTACCGTATCACTCTTCTCAACTAACGAATGCACTTTAAAGTCTTCTTTTCTTTGCACATGTCCAACCATTCTAACCTATTTTCTCTCATTTCATCTCCAACTGTTTCTCTCAAAATTATACAAAAATGGAGTTTAAAATATATATATATATATATATATATATATTGCTATTAAAGGGGACATACTGACGGCTCTCTTTGTATAGCAACGTAGACTCCTCTCCGCGTCTCTTGTTCTCGCTTTTTTTTCAGTCTTCTGATTGGTATTATATTACTACCTTAGTAATCCATTCATTAGGTGAGACATCGCATCAGATTCGAACGTGTGATGTCTGTGTGGATATTGTTAACTTACGGTTGGTATTCATTATTTTATTTATTATTATTATTATTAATTGTTCAATACAATGAGTTGGAACATGAAGCAAATATTGTTAGTAATAAGGTACTAAACCTGCACCTGGGAGCAAAATTATTGTCACAGCTTGCCTCGGAAATGTTGCAGCATCCACCATGAGCCTGTTGAATGATGAATGCGTGTCTTTATTTGATCATGATGCACTCGGGAGCCGAAACTAAGAGTCGACAGAGTGAGTGGTTGGATGTATTGAACAGTGAGATATGGGATTTACCGGTACAAAACAGTGATATTTTTCCACATAAATTGAGCTATCGTCATCTCCCATCTCATTTGAAGCAATGCTTTGCTTACGGTGCAATATTTCCAAAGGACTATGAGTTTGACACAAAGACGAGTTAGTTTTGTTGTGGATGGTGATAGGTCTTTTGCAGCTATCAACTGAAAAGGAGAATAAGAAGCGGATGCAAGATTTTGGCAATGAATGTTTTGATGATCGGTCATTTTTCCAACAACAAAGTGGTGGTAAATAACAGTTTGTGATGCATGACCTTCTAAATGATCCAACTCTACATGTTGCTGGTGATAAATTGGAAGGTGACAAGCAATCTAAAATTCCTAAAAGAAGCTGGCACCTTTCATTTATTCATGAAGATTTTGAAGTCTTTCAAAAGTTCAGGCCTCTCTATAAAGTGCAATGTTTGCAAACTTTTCTACCGATGTTGTTGCAGCTACTTTTTACCTCCCGAAAGTGGCTTCTTAGCAAACAAGGATTTGCTTGAAATATTTCCAAAAGTTACAATGTTTAAGGGCGCCATAACTGAGATACCGGATTCTAATGGTGATTTGAAACATCTCAGTTTTCTTGATTTATTTGGGACTTCAATTAAATGGTTACCTGAATTATTGAGTACTCTCTACAATCTACAAACACTATTATTGCACAAATGCCAAGAACTTTCTATGCTGCCATCAAACAGTGGAAATTTAATCAACCTATGCCATCTTGCCATTACTGGTTGTGTGCAATTAAGAGAGGTGCTCAGGGATTGGTAGGTTGACAAATTTGCAAGAAGTGTCAGAGTTCATTGTAGGCAAAATAATGGGCCAAGACTAAAAAAGTTAAGGAATCTGAGTCTTTTACGGGGAAGTATTTCTGTTAGAGAATTGCAAAATGTATCAGATGTTCAAGATGCAAATGAAGCGAATTTAAGGGCTAAGCAGAATCTTGAAGAATTAGAGTTGGCATGGTGTAGCGAGTTCACCAATTTTAAAAATGAAAATCTTGAAATAAATGTAGTTGACATGCTACAACCTCACGGAGACTTGAAAAAGTTCAGAATTGAGTTCTATGGGGGGGCACAAAGTTTCCAAGTTGGTTAGGCGATCCGTCATTCTGTAAAATGGTGAGTCTGACTCTTAAAGGTTGTAGAGAATGCAGTCTTTACCACCACTAGGGATACTACCCATGCTAAAAAAGCTACACATTCAAGGCAGGGCTGAAGTACAATATTTAGGGGTTGAGTTCTGCGGGATCATTTGTCCTTTATATTTGAGGATATACGTGGTTGTCCCAAGTTGATTAGGGTTTCAGTTTTAAAACTTCCCTCTCTTCGGGCATTATACTTGGAAGAGTGTGATGATGTGGTGGTGAAAAGTATCGTTGATGTGATCTCACTAACCAGCTTGAAAGTTGAAAATATTGTAGGACTATCTCAGCTCGATGAAGCATTGGTGCAGTCCTTGGGAGCATTTGAAAGTCTTGTGATCAGAAATGCAACAGCTGGTGACTTTGTGGCAAAATGGCAGGGGCATTACACACAAAAATAGTCTTGTTTGCTTACAGAGCCAGTATGTTTTGTCCAATCGGTTTTCTACCCCTTTCACCTGTCCCCTCATTTCACTCTAATTAATTAGGGTGAAATTAATGAACGTGTTGATCAGAATTTAGTGCAGTGCTGCTGATCTTTGTAACGTCATGTTGTTCATATAGCTATTATTACTTACCGATGATGTTCCTTTGTCCCAGAGAGCAAGGGTCTCTAGCTCGACAGGTCCCGCCGCTCGGACTGGTACACCTGCTCTGGCGGGTGCGACCGGTTGGGCAGAGGGGACTTCATCCGTTCCTCCCACTGTGGCCCCGTGGGTTTGTAAGCTGATAAGGTCGGACGGTTCTCTAGTTACTGCGAATGATACCATGTTCAAGCACGGGCCGACCGTTTTGGCCTACTATTCGCACATGTGGTCCCCTTGTGATATCCAAGTGCAAAGAGAGATGTCACAAACAGAGATATTTACACGGTTTCCTCTTTCGGCTATGGAGGTAACTTTGCTCTTGATGTCTTCATTCTCTCTCTTTAATCGCTTCAATTTTACTTTGTTTACACTGAGTGTGATAAATGTCCCTTTATCTCCATACAGACTCTGTTCGAGATGGTCACTATGCAGAGGGCTCTTGAGATAGCCGATCAGAAGGTGATCACTCTCTCTCTCTTCAGGCTATAAGAAGTTGCCTGCTGACCTGAAGAAAGCCAAGGCAGAATTGAAAGAATCAGAGCTCAAGCGTTCTGGCCTCGAGAAAGAAAGAGAGTATCCAAGGCGCTTTGGAAGATGAGCGGGTCGCTCGGTCTGGTCTGGACAAGAAGGCTTCTGACAACCGTACTGTCCTCGGTGTAATGACCAGGATTGAGGGTGATGTCAAAGCTCTTCCCACTAGATTCTCTCAAAAATTATATAAAAATTGACGTGAATATATGTATGTATATAGAGCAATATTTATTAGAGAAGTTTTCTCTCACACACACAGTGAACACGAAAAAAAGAGAGAGAATGATGAAAAACTTTATTCAAGTCTCTACCAAGCAAGTGATACATATAGCCTATTTATAGGCTCCAGATAAAACGTCCCAAGCAAGCTTATACTAAAGGTTTCATTGTAAGCTAAAAGTTGGTCTTCCTGCCCACGCCAAAGATGAGATATATGGATGACTTACACTATTGTGGGCCCCATAAACATAGATATATATAACACTCCCCCTTGGGGTCCACAATACTACACTAAGAATATGCCTCGTTAAAACCTTACTAAGGAAAACCCAGTGGGACAAAACCCTAGTGAAGGAAAAAGAGTACAATATTCTTGTGTATCTGAAAATGGTATTGCATAGATTAAAACTGCCTCATTAAAACCTTGCAAGGAAAATCCAGTGGGATAAAACTTGGACGAAGGAAAAAGAGTACAGTATGCTAATACCTCTTTGATCAATTGTTCCCCCTCATTAGTTCAACCCTGAAGATCCTTTAGTTGACGCATTCCAATGTTGTCCACTAACTTCTTGAATGTTGTAGTTGGAAGCGCTTTAGTGAATAAATCTGCTAGATTATCACTAGAGCGTATTTGCCGACCATCGATATCATGGCTCTTCTGGAGCTCGTGTGTGGAAAAGAATTTTGGTAAAATTTGCTTAGTTCTGTCACTTTTTATGCATCCTCCTCTTACCTGTGCAATACATGTTGTATTATCTTCATATAATATTGTTGGACTATCTTTGATTGGGGAGAGTCCACATGATTCTCGAATATGTTGTATAACAGATCTCAACCAAACACACTCTCTACCTGCTTCATGAATTGCGAGTATCTCAGAGTGATTTGAGGAAGTTGCAGTCGTGGTCTGTTT